CCAAGTTTTTCTTATTTGGGCATTCTCAACCAGGTTCCAAATGTTCTGGAAAACTCTGGGACCCACCTGTGAGGATTCTTTGCTAAGCCCCTCTGTTTGAGGAGCCCTGGTGTATGTCACATAGACCACCATCACCTCCTGCTCGTCCCTTTGTTTTATAGATGAGGCAACAGAGGCCCAGAGAGGGGAAGCAACTTGCCCAGGGACACACAGCAGGTCAGTCTCAGAGTCAAAACAAAATTTGAAAAGCACTTTATACCCCACAAAGCACTTCTACGTGGGTTCCCTGCTTTTGGCATTCCACCAAAAAAGTTTTGTTTTGTTTTTTTTCCTCTGTTCCATAGAGGAGAGGGTTCCAACTTTTTACTTTTGCTCAGTAAGTTCACGGAAAGGAAAACAAAATCTATTCTTTTCATCTCAGAAAAGACAAGACGTTTTTCCATGTACACAAAGGCAAGAATATAATTTCAGAATAAAGAAGAGTCCTGAAAATCAAAGGAATGTCGTTTTCTGGAAAACTCACTAACGCGCTCCATGTTTTTCTGGCTTTTCCGAGGACTGGAGAGGGGGCCGCTGTGCCCGCTGGCCCAGGGCAGCCAGGACCCCCTGCTCTTCTAACCCGCTCTGCCTCCCAAACCAAACCCCCATCCCTCTCCCAACGCCCCCTGCTCCTTGAAACAACCACCGTTTCGCACAGGAAACAGAGACACCGCTGGCCAGATGAGCCAGAGAGCAAAGTTGGCAGGATGGGGCGGGGGGAGGGAAGAAAAGTCCCGGCCGGCCCGCCTGCCGGACGGCGCACTCACCCAGAGGCACCGCAGGAGCTTCAGCAAGCCGGGGCAGTAATAATACTCCATGTCTGGCGCCCGGGGTTATGCCGCCCGCATCGCGCTCGCTTCCAGTCTCCCGCCGGAGGGGGCGGCCCTTCCCGCCCCGCTTGTCACGCAGGAGTCAAGTTCAAGGCGGCATGAATCATTCAGGGGCCGGCTCGCGGCCAGCGGACCAGCCCGACGCCCCGCTAATGGCCAAGGCCGCCTTCGGGGCGGGGAAGCCGCTCAGGTCCCGTGAGCACCCCCCTGGAGCATCTCAGCGGGGGCCCACCCAGGGGCGGCCCCTCCCAAACCCAGCCGAGTGGTCCAGACCCTGGAGGGAGGCAGTTTCAGCTGTGTGGCAGAAAAAGAGAGGATGAAGCCCCTGAACTGAGTGTGTGTGTATGTGTGTGTGTGTGTCATGTGAGTTGTGAGAACGAGTTCCTCCCCCAAGCCACACACTGAGGGGGGGCGCTCCCTGACTCCTTCCATGTAAAGGAAATAAATCAACAGGTCCCCACAGCTCCTCCCAGCTTCAGTCAAGTTCCTTCTGCCTCAGCTAAGCTTCTGAGCAGCCCTGGAAGGAGGGCTTGGTTAGCCCCATTTTACAGAGGGGAACACGGAGGCCCAGAGAGGGCTAGGGACTTCGTCAGGGTCATACAGCGAGGTGGAACCTGAACCAAGGCAGGAGGAACCCAGGCCTCCCACCCAGCCTTGGGTTCTGCCTGCTTCTATGGGCAGCCGCCCAGCACAGGGGACGAGGATGCTGAGGAAGGGGGAGACCGGCTCCCAGAGTCACCATCTGCCAGCAGAGGGGGTAGGGGGCAGGGGGAGCATCCATTTTCAGAAATTAGAAATGCCAATTAGAGCATACCTGAGACTGACCCGAGGCAACCTTTCCTGGATGTTTCCTTCAAAAGAGTGTGATCTTAGCAAGCCATGCCACGTTCCTGAGCCTCAGTTACCCCTTCTGTAAAATGGCACGGATTACCCCTGTAGTTCAGGGTTTTGTGCACCGTTTGAGGTAGGATAATACCAAAACATCTTGTTTAGACCCCACAGTGCTTCCCTGGGGGAAACATCACCTCCACCGGCCAGATGAGGAAACTGGAGCCCGAGAGCAAAGGGAGTTTGCCGGGTGAACAGTGGGGCAGCCCAGAGCTCCAGCTCAACACCACCTCCGTCGGGTCAGCCCAGGTTCCACGAGAGCCATATCTGAGGGGAGGAGGGAAAAGCTGGGTGGGGAGGGGCGTCAGGCCCTTGGCAGAGGCGCCGGGCGGGGAGCCGGGCTCCTGCCCCCCAGGCCCCGCCGACCATATGCACCAGCAGCCCCGCACCCAACCTGGGGCAGAGCAGCTGACAGGAAAGCCACAGGGACACCAGCAGGGAGAGCTGAGCTCAGCAGGGGAGGAAACCACGGGGCGAACTTCAAAGCTCTTCAAAAGCAGGCCTGTGGCTCCTCTGTCTCAGCGCCCGACATCCGGCAGGCGATGCGTCCCAGATGATGGCACAGCTGGGGCCCCTGCTCACTGACTGACTGACTGACGACACTGCTCACTGAGGGGCTAAGAGAACAGCGGGAAGGTGGCCCTTGCCGACTCTGACTCACGTACGGAGGAGCTGTCCATCACCACCAGGGGCGTGGAGGCTGCTGACGGCCACTGCTCAGCCTCCCACTAGCTTGACAGAGATGGCCCAAGAGAAATGGACTGGGAGGGGCCGAGGCTTGAAATAGGACTGAACGTTCCTCTTCTCAAGCGACCCTGTGTTCAAGCAGAGGATTCAGCATCTCTGAAAGCATATCTGCTTAGGTCAGGAATGTCATTTCTCTATTCACAGGGCTGTCATTATGGGCTACCCATCCCACAGACACACACATACCCCTACCAAACACACCTCTTTTAGAAATAAAATAAAAACTTTTTTTCTAACAAAAAAAATCATTTCTTCAGAAGAGAAACAGCATCAGAGAAAACAAACCAGGGCAGCCAGGGCTGTGAGGATGGCAGGTGAACGTCCCAATTCAGCCCCGCAGCTCTGACGGGCTTGCAAAACTGACCTGATGGGACCTGATGGGGAACACAACACGTGCACCCAAATCAGTGACAAGTGTTAAATGCAAATCTAACTGGCTGCAGAAATTTTGGCTTTTTTTTTTTGGTTTAGAATGAAGGCCCTAATGCAAAACGGGTTAAAAACTAACAAGAAAGCAAAGTGTTCAAACTAGAGCACCCCCTATCCTGCCCTCTGGTGGTCACTTGTGAATATTGCACCCGGAAGCTGATAACCTTTTCATCAGGTAGGAGGAATGGAGGGTGGGGGGTAGACAGGGAAATTGCAGCAAGAAGCCCCACTTGGGTGATTTCTGATGGAGGACATTGAGGTCATTTCTGATGCCCCCAGAAGGTGGAGGCTTCCAAAAGGGTCTAACATCCTTGGACGGAGTCCCGCCAGTGCCACGTGCCCACTGTATGAACCTAGACCAAGGCACTCACTTCCCAAGCCTCAGTGTCCCTGAGTTGTGGCAAGGATTCAGCGAGATAATATGTGAGACAGGACTGCCCACACTGCATGTGTTCATTGAAGGTGGTGAGGTGTGGTTAAGTTAAAAAAATTTTTTTCCCCAGCGTATAAAAATGGTGAAGTTTCACATTAAGATCGAATCAAGATCTTCAGTTTTGCTTGAAACATCAGATTGTCCAGCCACTCTGGGCAGGGATGGGCTGGAACGCAGCAGGGTCCCCTCCCTCATCCCTGTCTGTCATTAAAATCCCCCATGCCTGCCTGGCCTGGCTTCTGGGGGTAGCTCCTGATGTGGAATCTCAAGGGACACCCCCTGCAAATCCAGATTCAAAAGCCTGGAGGCAACCTTGGTGTGTCTGTCTGAGGCTGGCATTTAGGAATCACCAGGTCAGGGGGTTTCTGAGGCAGGAGGAGTGGGGCCTGGTCCTCAGAATGCTGCCCCACCCCATTTTACAGAGGAGGAGACCGAAGTTCAGGGAGATGAAGTTTCCTGTCCTGGGCCGTAAAGCTGGAAGGAATGGACCTAGGATTTCAAGACTGCAGGATCCCACGTCTTGGAGATGTGAGAACAGGCACAGATACCACTGAGACGCACGGAGCCTCAAAATCAAAATGACCTCAGGAACGGAACTGGTGTTGCCTCATTAAAAAAGGCTTATCTCAGATGTCCCCACGTAGGGCCTGGGGCCCAGGAGGGACTTCACAAGCCAGTGCTGAACTCAGCAGATCTCTAAGGAACTCAAGTCCAAAAACCCGCACACATACACACACACACAGACAAAGAAAAACTAGGAAAGAAAATCACAGTAAGTCAAAAGTGGGAAAGCCCTGGGATCCAGCCGGGGACATCGAGGTTCCGGGGGAGGGGCCTCCCCAGGATCCTGCTGCGTTATTTTACCCACCATTTTTCCACAAGTGAGGAGACAGGCTGAGAGGGAGGAAGTGCTGGTCAAATGGAGGCTCAAAAACAATAATGATAATGGTAACCTAACACTTATTCAAGTGTTTGCTGTGCACCCCGGATGGTGTTAAACCCATCTCCAGTTATCTTATCTGAGCCCCACATCAGCCCTGTGAAGGAGATACTATTATTAGCCCCATTTTGCAGATGAGGAAACAGAGGCCGGGCGCCAGGTTACACGCAGAGCCAGGATCTGAAGCCAGGTGATCCAGCTCCGTTACCAGCCAGACACTGCCTTCCTCCTGTCACTACCACAACCACCGGTTACTGTCTGAATTCCTCTGTGCTGGTTCCTACACGCAGTCTGACTCCATTCTCCCAACAGTGCAGAAGAAATTGGAACCACAGTCCCATTTTCCAGGTGAAGAAACCGAGATGCAGAGAAATTAACTAAACTGCTCAAAGAGGCTGAGAGGCAGGGACGGTGCTGGAATTCAAACCCAGGGCTTTCAGACCCCAGCACGTGTTCTCTGAATCGCTCCGTGCTACGCAGCAGGGGTGACCCCTCCGCAGAGGGCCAGAAACCCAAGAGGGGGGAAGGCTGCCCTGGCAGAGCCACCAAACACCCTCCATGTCACGAACAGCAGCACAATCAGGCAACACCAGATTCCCGTCCTCGTCCCCCTCCGGCCCTTGGGCCAAGCCTGGATTCTCCCCACGGCCACACTCCCGGTGGCATCCACTCTGGCCATGCCGGTGCCACTCACCATGAAGGGCCCGCTCCTCCTGTCCTTGCAGAAGCTGTGGCTTCTCCGGGGGCTGGCGGCCGCGGGGGTCACCTGCTGGAGCTGCAGCTCATGGTCCTGGAGGGCCTGCTCCCTCCCCAGGTCCCGCAGCGGCACCTGTGGCACAGAATACAAGAAGAGAACTTTATAGGAGCTTCCCCATTTACAGGCCGATTATGTTGCAGCGAGAGAGTCCATTCTACCTAAAAGAGCAAAGAGAAAAATTAAAGTGCCAGCTGCATCCCTACCTTCCCCATCCCACGGTGGTCCACCTCCGTGATGGGGGGGGGGCTGGGTTCAGCCCAGCCTCAGCCACTTAATAACTGTGTGACCTCGGGTGAGTGCCTTAACCTCTCTGATCCTTGACCATATGGGAAAAGACCCACAATAACAGGCCTTAGCTTCTAGGTTCCCGGATGAACCAAATGAGGAAGAGCACATGGAAAGTGTGTGACTCAGTGCTGCCACCAGGGGGCGGATGTGCATAAGACCTGGGCGCCTGGCTTGCTTCATCCAGGTCTCAGAAATGTTAGCCAGCCTTGTGACTGCCACTGGCAACTTTTGGCAACCGCATTTTAGACAGCTTTCCATGCATCCAAACACACATGCACATGATACACAGAGAAATGATACATGAATACGACGGTACTAGGTATGCTAGTGTGAAACCTTCCATTTCTATACACAGGGGAAACATTCACAAGCCAGTAAATATGGGACTCCAGAATGCGGACTGGATTTACCTCACACTGTCCCCGCACAGACAAGGAAAAGAAGGCCCAGAGAGGGAAAGCATCTGCTTAAGGACACACAGCATGAGTGAAGGGCAAGGCTGGATTCCTGATCCCTGGCCTCACAGCCTCTTTTCTGATGCCTTATGAGACCTCTGGTTCTCTTCCGACCTCCCTGGCTGTTCCCTCTCAGCCTCCCTGTGTCACAGAGAGACATCGAAAGTTGGGTCCCAGGCCAGCCACAGACCCTTCCAATCGCTCCTCCCTGCCTTGCCCATCACCAGCTGGGCAGGCCAAGGCCCGTGGCTCACCCTCCATCCCTTCTTTCTGCCCCATCAACAAAGCTGAGACCCATTTAAAAATGCCCTCAGAATTCTACAACCATCATCACACTCACGTTTAAAATATCTTCATCACCCCCTAGAGAGCCCCGCAGCCATATTCCCCTGATACCTTCCAGTCCTGGGCAACCATACATCTACTTTTTGCCTCTATGGATTGGCCAGAACGTAGGACATTTCACATACATGGAATCACACGTGTGGTCCTTTGTGACTGGCCTCTTCCACGTAGCATCATGTTTTCAGGGTTCATCCATACTGGGCATGTATCAGTGCTTCATTCCTTTTCATGGCCGAATAATATTCTGTTATATGGATACACCCCCATTTTATTTATCCATTCATCAGTGATGGGCACTCGGGGTGTTCCCACTTTTTGGCTATTATGGAGATCGCTGCTGGGAACATTTATGTACAAGTTTTTGTGTGCACATAAGCTTTCATTTCTTTGGATACACACCTGGGATACAGTAACTCCAGGTGTCAGTTTTGGGGACTGCCAGACTATTTTCCAAAGCAACTGCATCATTTTACATTCCCACCTGCAGAGTATGAGCGTTCTAATTTTTCTGCAATCTAACCGACATTTGTTGCCACCTGTCTTTTTGGTTCTAGCCAACTAGTCCAGTGCCCACTGGGGTCCCTCCAGCATCCACTCCTCTCCATGCTGGGGCCTCTTCACTTGCTGCCTCTGCCTCCTCCCTGCAGATCTTGGTCTGCCTGGGTCTCTTCCATCACTCAAATGGCATCTGTCAAGTCCCTTCCCAGGAGACCAGCCCCTTAGGAAAAGGGGGTGACAGGGAGGTTACACTGTCTCCCCCGGACTTATGCTCTCTAACCGATCCCACTCACTCAGCTTGCCCACCCAGACCAGTGCTGCCCACTAGAGCCCTCTGTGGCTGTGGCGATGTTCCCCATCTGGGCTGCCCACTGCCACGTCCGTGGGCCACTGGTGGCTTTTGTGCGCTTGGACGTGTCCAGTGTGACTGAGGAACTGAATTCTGAATTTCAACGACCACATGCGGCTAGTGACTGCCATACTGGACAGCACGGCCTGATGCAAAGGACCTGCAAACAGGGCCTGGCCCCGGGTTTGCATGTTATTTTGTGACAAATCTCCAGCTAGTCCGTGAGGCAGGCAGGATTCCCATTCCACAGATGAGGACACTGAGGCTCAGAGAGGTCTGGCAAGGTGCCCGGAGTCACACAGCTGGTAATTCACAAAGCTAGGTCTGCCGAATCCCAGGTCTGCAGCATTTGCAGTCCAGGGCTGTTTCCAGGAAGAAGCCAAATTGTGAACGTATAAAGGGCTCATCTTCCTTATAAAGAACTTTTTCTCTAAAAGAAAAGTGGCGGAACTTTCACAGGTGACGGGAAGGAAATGCAAATGGCCGCACACACAGTGACGAGATGAGGGGCACTCACTTGGAGCGGGGGGCACATGAGCTCCAGAAGCCTGATAACCCAGCCGGCTGGCAAGGCTGAGGGGAGACGGGGCCCCATCACTGCTGGTGAGGATGTGACATGGCACAGCTCCACCACAGGGCGAGCCAGCACAGTCCTGCAGAATCCCAACTCCCGTCCCCCTTGGACGGGCAGCCACCATTCTGGACCCAGGGATATTACCCACATGTGTGCGAAATGACATAAGGACCTGGGTCGTCAATAGTAAGAGATGGGAAATAGCACCCAACTCCACCACACACAACCAAAAATAATGAGGACGTTCGCTCTCTGTGGGCTGAATCCACAAGCTCTTCAAGATGCATTATATGAAAAAAAAAAAAGGCAGGTGGCAGATCTGTGGGTTCAGCAGTGACCCTCCATCCAAGAATCCCCAGGGGTGCTTTTTTATTTTGGGGGGTTAGTGAGGTGCTGGGAATTGAACCCAGGACCTCATGCATGCCCAGCATGCGGTCTACCACTGAGCTGTACCCCACTTCTCCCCAGGGGTGCTTATAAAACTAACAAAGGCAGGCCCCACCCCAGAGACTTCAGCCAAATTGGCCCAGAGGGGAGGGCCCTGCACTGCTGTCTTTGAGGATCCCCTGGGCAACCAAAGTTTCAACCACTTGCAGAGAATGTTCTCTTTTTTGGAAAAGGGAGGCAAAAACAAGACTGTGTATTCACATTTGCTTGTATCTTTGGAAAGGCACTCTGTAAGGATTTGGACAGAATAGAATATGACCCCTGCATGAGGAATAGGAGGGTGCAGAATGAGAGGTTTGGGGAATCCTCACTTTGTAAGTATTTTGGAAGCCATGTGAAAATATTCTCTCTTGAAACGAAAATAAATCATCTGATTAAATGAAATACTATCTTTGGGGCTGGGACAAAGTTTTGATCAATGTTAAGTGAGAAAGAAAGAGAGAGAGCAGGAGGAAGGGAGGAATCACTAACTGCCATCACACCCTGTGTGGGGTACATGAGCCGAACTGGCTGTCAATCAAGACATCTTCACCCAAGGCAGCAAAGGTGTATCTCAAGATGCTCGATGAAGCTCTAGAACTCAAATCAACCCAAATGTCCATCAATAAGACTCTGGATAAAAAAAGTTTGGGCTCAGTCCCCATAATAAAAGACTCTGCAACCATGAAAAACAATGGGATTAGGTACGCACTGTTTTTGACTGCTACATTTAAGAAAGCAAGTTGTGAGATTTTCAGGAGAACGCAGCAACGTTTCCATAAACCAGTATGTATTTATCTCTCTGTGTCAAGCCCTGGGTTCTCGGCGTTGGGACTATGCACATTTGGGGCAGGACCATTCTCTGTGGTGGGGCTGTCCTGTGCATTGCAGAATACGGGCTAGCATCCTTGGTCTCCACTCACCACATGCCAGAAGTAAACTCTTCCCCGGTTGTGAAAACAAACACTGTCTCTAACTTTGCCAAACGTGCCCAAGACGTAAAGCTGCCCATGGTTGAGAACCATGAACGGGGCCTGGATGTGCTGCAGACTCATTTTGGGGAGCATTTCCTTCTAAACCACGTGTTTCTATCACATTTTAAATTGTGCTCAAGCATTCATTAGTTTTGCAATAAGAAAAATACAACAGTTATAAATAAATACATAGGGAGGGAGGGTATAGCTCAGTGGTAGAACGCATGCTTAGCATGCACAAGGTCCTGGGTTCAAACCCCAGCACCTCCATTAAAAAAAAAGAATAAACAGTAATATTGCCTATAAAATTTAAATAACCAATAAAGGCTTTAAAATTTTCTAAATAAATACATATATGATGGTAAGCCACTCTGTAATACAGGAGAATCCCCAAAGATATAAAAAGCTGTAACTGGATGCATCTGGGGACGGGAAAGGGAAGGGGGTCCAAGGGGACACTTTTCTATATACATTATACACTCTTGTGAGGTTTGAATTTTCAGCAACCAACATTTTGTATTTCTGCATTGCTCTTTATTTTTCAAAGGTCAAGAACCAGAGATCCTGGAGCAGGACAGAAGAGGAACGGGGAGCTGGTCCAAGGATTCCCAGTCCCTTGGTGAGAAAACAGACCCCCTGGCAACCAGCACTCGTGGGGCCCCGGCACCCCGGGCAGGCGTCCAAGGCACCCGAGGCCGGGGGCCCCCTCCACGAGGCCCCAACTCTCCCGCTGCCAGCGCGCCCCGGAGTGAGACGCTGGCACCCAGATGAAGTGTCACATTTCCATGGCCTCTCCCCTGGCCCACGTTCTCACAACAACAGCCTGGAGTTGGGGGGG